TTGTATTTTATTTTCTGATTTTTTTTACCAATATGTAAGACAGAGCATTTATTTGTTGAGATTTGGAGTTGCCATATGTTAGACCATTCAGATACATAGTCTAGATCTTTTTGAAGGGTAGTAGTATTGTCTGTGGTATTGAACAGCTTTACATCATCAGCGAAGAGAACGCAATTGCTCTTGATATGATCACAAAGGTCGTTTATGTAGATTATGAAGAGAGTTGGTCCTAGAACACTGCCTTGGGGAACACCACTATTGACAGGTACTGGATTTGATAGGGCGTTCCCAATTTTGACCATTTGTTGTCTGTTTGACAGGAATGCTTCTATCCAGTTATTCAGTTGTCCAGAGATACCATAAGATTTTATTTTTAGGAGTAGTTTGTCGTGTACCACTGAATCAAAGGCTTTGCAGAAGTCTATGTAGATTGCGTCTATTGCTTTGCCCTGGTCGAGTTGAGTAGTCCATATGTTTTTGCAGTGTAAGAGTTGCAGATTACAGGATAGTTTTTTTCTGAAACCAAATTGTTTATTGGAGAGTAGGTTGTTTGTCTCTAAATGGAGGATGATGGATTGGTTAATAATTGATTCCATGACTTTACAGGTGACGCAGCATAAGGAGATTGGTCTGTAATTTTCAACTAGGCTTGGGTCTCCCTTTTTGAAGATGGGAATGACTGTGGCTTGTAACCATAGGTTGGGCAAGGAGCTGGTTCTGAAAGATCTTTCAAAGATTATGCTTAGAGGTTTGGCTATGGCAGCGGATAGTTTTCTTAAGAAGTAGGCACATATTCCATCCGGTCCAATAGATAGAGATGGTTTTAGGTTGCGTAGTGCTTTTTCAACGTTGTCTACTGTAAAATCGATATGTATTAGATCATTATTGTTGTCTGTGGTACGGCTAGGAAACATTGGGCATGATCCATTACTGTTTACAAACACTGAGCCGAAGAATGTGTTAAAGATGTTGGCTTTAATGGTGTCGTCGCTGCAGTCTTTACCATCAGGTCCTATCAAGGGAGGGATGGACCTTGAGTCTTTTAGTTTGTTGTTTACAAAATTGTAAAAAGCACGGGTGGAATTGGTGCTTAGAAGGTTTTCCTCTTGTTTAATGTGGTAATTGGTGCATTCGGTCTTTATCTGGTGGCATAAATTTTTATATCGGTTTTTGAAATTAGCAACGTGACCAGATTTGTTTTTCCGCCAGAGTGATCTCTTTTTGGATTGAAGTTTCCTTATTGATATGGGTAATCTGCTTTTTTGTTTTTTTTTTGGAGTTGTTGTTGGAACATATAGTTTGATGACTCTTTTGACTTCAAGTAAAAATATGTTGTAATGATCTTCAACAGTATTGCATCCAGTGAATAGAGATTGCCAATCGAGGGATGAGAGATCGTTATCTATAAGATCATAATTGCCTTTTTTGAAGTTACAACTAGGGATGACATCGTTGTGGTGATTTTTGCGTGGACGTATGTTGAGGCAAAAGTCAATCATATTGTGATCACTACTGGAAAAGGGTTCTTTGGTTTGTATTCGGTAAATTAAATTCAAACTATTGCAGAAGATGAGATCGAGGCAGTTGTTCAGTCTAGTGTTGTTGGTTACTAGTTGTTCAAGACCTAGATTTGTAATAGCATTGAAGAAGGTTGTGTGTATGATTTCAGTTGTACAATTATTTAGGGTCCAGTCAATATGAGGTAGATTGAAATCTCCAAGAAAGATAAAAGGGTATGGGCAGGATGTAGCCCATGTTAGTAGTGTATTTAGCTTGTTTATATGTTCGATGTCATAATCAGGTGCTCTGTAACATAGTAAGAATCGAATTGTTATCTATCAGAAAACACATCCCACTTTGCTTTTAAAATGCAAAGAGAGACATTAGCAGAGTTGTAGGCAAGAAACTGGGTTGGCTTTTTCAGCAATTTATAATTTGGCAGAGAAGGAACAAGAGTAGAACGTTCAAAAGATAGCAAAGCAGTTCAGCGTACTGCAGCATGAAGTACAGTTTTATAAAAGAACCCACACTTTTATTCTTTTAACTGTAGGCAGATCAGATGTCCAATGCAACCTACATAGTGGAACTTGCTCACACAGCGCAAAATTTACCATGGTGTCAATTTTACACCTTCCATCAGAGCTGTGAATGGTTCCCCCCCCCTCTTTTTCTGAGCAACTTAGAACTAAGGAGAAATTTCCTGACAGTTAGAACAATTAATCAGTAGAACAACTTGCCTCCAGAAGTTATGAATGCTCCAATACTGGAAGTTTTTAAAAAGATGTTGGATAACCATTTGTCTGAATTGGTGTAGGGTTTCCTGTCTAGGCAGGGGGTTGGACTAGAAAACCTCCAACTCTGTTTCAACTCTGTTTTCTATTCTATTCTATTCTATTCTATTCTATTCTATTCTATTCTATTCTATTCTATTCTATTCTATTCTATTCTATTCTATTCTATTCTATTCCTATGCTATTCCATTTTCTATTCTATTCTATTCTATTCTATTCTATTCTATTCTATTCTATTCTATTCTATTCTATTCTATTCTCTATGCCCTAATAAAGTTGGTTACTCCTCCTCCTCCTGCTCCTGATTGTACTTTGTACGAATTGCATACCAACAAACATGATGATGCAAGCTTCTGTAGCAGCAATAAAAAGGCAGCATAACAGCTGACCAGGGCTGTCAAACTTGCGGCCCATGGGCCAGATGAGTCACACGGTGGCCACGCCCGGTTTAGTGAAGGGGGAAAAAGTCCGGATACGTTACATGACACTGCCATGACGCCATGAGTTTGACACTCCTGCACTAGATACACGATTACAAGCAGTAAGAACTATTTTAGAAAAAAAATCTTCTAGTCCTCCAAACATGCTTCACCTTCTACAATATAGTTTATTATCATGTTGCTTAGATTAACAATACATTTTTATCATGTTGGAATGAATGTATTATAATAAGAAAGCACATGTGAAAGACAAATATAAAGGAGTAAAAAAGAAAATTGAACAAAACCATCCATTTCCCTCCTCCCTTTCCCTCCCAAGCTAGATCTATTACTGTTTGGAAATTGATGTAGTACTTATGAAATTGATGTAGTTTTTATTTCACCTGAAAAATATATTTTAACACTCCAAGCTGAACATTCATTTTTTTAAAAAAAATGTTTTAAACAATTTATTCCTCCTGTCCAGTTTGTGGAGCGTTGTTCGTATTCATTTGGGTATACTCATATACAGCTGGACCCCTGTATTCTGTCAGAAGGGGAAAAAAAATAAAAAGTAGCTTCAAATTAATAGGGAATAGAATGTATG